GTCTTCTGTTTAACTGGCAATGTCAGAAATTATTGACCTGAGTCCCCCACAGCTCAACTTAACAGCATGGCTTTATTTCTTATAATTTTGTCTTCATACTTTTCTGCTGGGTGGTTAAGACCAAGGTAAAGCAAGACCTCTGAAAATGTTAAGACTAGAAATACCTTGACATTCAACTGACCAGTGTCATAGGGACACTGTCCTCTTTCTCACCCTCTCCTCACCCCCAAAGTCTAGAACTCAGCACTGCAAAAGCTACCAAAGAGGAAGAGATGCTCCAACTGCACAGGCAGAAGAGCCTCTGGTACCAATTTCAAGAGAAAATGAAAATTAGTTTGATGCCTGATTTCAAATTTTTGGTGTTCTCTTTTCCTCAGGCACAGTAATTTTGGTAATACTGGAAATATGGGATCAGGTGACATGGGTCAGGTGACCATGGCAAGGGCTCATTCCAAAGCAGCCGGCCATCCCATGGCACGTCACATACCTCTGCAATTTCCACACGTTCTTTTTGTTTGCTCTTATTTATTCCCACAGTTTTGTTCTTGGCTCTTTCTTTGTCTGGTTTTAAAAATCCATTGATGGTTAATTTTTCAAGCTGCTTCTTAACATAAAGAAACATACAACTGAATGAATGCTTTGTATGTTCCTCTATAGGGTTGTCATATGCCTCTCAGCCTTCCATGTCCTTGAAGCAGAAGAAACTCTGGACCAAGTTAAGCTCACTCTTGGTGGGGCAGTGGATGAACCTGGCCTCCACTAGTTGTCCACTCAGGATGTAGGCACAGCCCGGTTCTTCAGTGCAGAGATGCATGATTCTTGAGATGGAGCTGCCAGGTCCTGAGGGAGGGACAGGGCCCACACACATGCCCCCACTGCCGCCAACAACTGGTGGTACTATTCAAATCCCCGCCATGATCATTTTGCTACAACACTTATTTATTTGTTCATTGTACATCTCCCCACCTCCACTTAAAATCAAAGCATATGAATTCAGAGAAAAAAGCATAGTATGCAGCTCACCACTGTATTCTCAAATCATAGAACATATAACTTATGTGTTATTAATCTCCTACTTAGTGAGAAATGTTTATAAACTATATTGGATTTTCGTATGTAAAAAATACTCTGTCAGAAAAGTTATGTAAAAATATTTTGTGTGCTTGATTCGCAAGGATACTATGAAAGATTTCAAGAGTGCCAGCAGTCCTTTTAAAAATTGTTTCGATCATTATCTAGAAAAATGATTTTAGGCTGATAATTCACTCTAAATTCCTTAGAACTTTTGACAGTTCACTTATTTCCTAGTAAGTAGTAGAGAAAGAAATCAGGAACACAATTCCATCTATAGTACCTTCAAACAAAAGCCTAGGAATCAACATCACCACAGAGGTGGAAGACCTCTACAGTAAATATGCCCATTTTTGATTGAGTCTTTAAATTTAGGGAGGTCTAATTTTTTTAGTTTTTGTATATTCTAGATATTAGTCATTTGTCTGAGTAGCAGCTGGCAATTTTTTTTTTCCATTTTGAAGGTTGTTTCTCACTCTGTTGGTGATTTCCTTTGCTGTGCAGAAACTTTTAGTTTGATTTTATTTATTGATTCTTGGTATTGTTTCTTGTACAGCTGGAGTTTTATTAAGAAGATCTTTGCTAAACTGATGTCTTTAAAACTTTTACATATTTTGTTTTCCAGTCAATTAAATGTATCTGTTCTAATGTTTCAGTATTTGATCCATTTTGATTTTAGCTGAGTGAACGGTGAGAGATATGGGTCTAGTTTCACAGCAGCTGGTTTTTCCAGCACCATTTATTAAATAGGCCATCTTTTCTCTAGGAAAGGGATTTGTCTCATTTATCAAAAATAACATAACTGAATGTGCCTACAGTTGTTTTTCTATCTTTTATTCTATTCCACTGATCTACAGTCTGTTTTTTATTTTTACTTTTTTTTGCCAATACCGTGCTTTTCCCCCCTGAATCACTGTAACTGTGTAGTAAAACTTGAAATCTGGGATTGTGGTGCTCCCTGCTTTGCCCTTGTTGCCCAGAATTGCTTTGGCTATTCTGAGTCTCTTCTGGTTCCATATGAATCTGTAGGATCGCTTTCTCCATTTTTTTTTTTTTTAAATTTAAAGAAACACTTTAATAAAGAAAACGGGTCCTGTTATCATCATTAACATTTTGGTTTATATTCTTCCCCTTTTCACTTAACATTGTAAGTTTTTAATAAAACATATTTGTTCATACTTTCTGTGTGTGAATGTGCACATGTTAATTCTGCTTTACAACTTGTCTTTACAATTTTAGACAGCTTTTTTTTTTTTTTTTTTTTGTACTGGGAATTGAACTCAGGACCTTGCACTTGCCAGGCTGGTACTGTATCATTGAGCTATCTCCCAGCCCCTTGGACAGCTTTCAGTAGTGGCACATACAGATCTAACTCATTCATTTTAGTAATGGTATTAATCATTTGTATTTGTTCCATACTGCATTACCAAACTCATATTGACGGATATATGGGTCACATCCAAATTTTCACTCTTATAAAAGTGTCCATATATACATAGTTTGGGAATACTCAAAGGGAAAATGCTAAATCAAAGGGTTTGGACATTTTTGTTTCCAAAGATATTAAATGACCTTCTAAAAATTTGTTCTGGTTTATTACCCTATAAATGTTTATGTGAATTCTATCTCCCCACATCCTTATCAATAATGGATATCATTTAAAAACTTGTTCCAACTTAAATAAGACTGAACATCTTTTCATATCCCATTGGTCATTTGTATTTTTCTGTGAATTACCTATTCATGTCCTTTGCATGGTTTTCATTGCAGTATACTTTTGGTCAGTAAATAATAATGCTCAGAACCTCACAACTCTCCCGCTGGCCAAAAGTGCCC